AACTTAATAAAAATACAGTTATCGATTTTCGGTTTTAAATATTCATAGAAAGCATATACAAAATAACTCACAAAACAAACCATTTCCAAGAAGATCAAGCTAATTTCAACTTAGATTTACTTTTAAAAAAGAAAGAAAATTTTTCTCGGCTACATCATAGTCATTCTTTAGAAATAAAAATGGTGATAAGAATTTAAACCTTTTTTCAAAACACTGTTGGGAGCATTTTCTCTATAGCTTTTTCTATAGAAAATCTTTAGAATACGAAAAGATTATTTTTACTTGCTTTATTATAGTTGATTTTGTAGAAGAATATTCACCTCTACGAAGCTTTTATGATTGCTTACAAGACGCGATATTTCTAAACCATTTATTATTTTGACAGTGATACAAAACCTTATCATGGAATAAAAGATGTAGGGAATGGTGTGCGTTTTATGCAATAAATAACCTTTCACACGACACCCAAGATCAAAAAAAGAATTAAAAATTCCAATTTGTCGCAAAAAACCTTATTCTATACATATACATAATTATATGGAACGTGTTATATGTGACTAAAAAGTTGGATAAATTCATTATCAGATAAGGTATACTTCAGTGACATACCTAACTTATGTTGGAAGAAATAACATTTTCATTACAAAATTGAGGTTATTTGTTCACGCTAACCACATTTAACACAATGATTTCACTGTATTCTATTGATAGACGGCATAATACACGTACACAACATTGAAGTACAGTGGTTTACACGCTCATTTCAATTGTTTCTATCACTTCAGAACACGGAATTACTTCACTATGTTTATTTATTTGTCAACAAACAAAAATGTATCATGCCCGACTCGCGCGCGAATTACCGACTAATATATCGAATGATGTGACATAATATCCAAGATTCACTTTAATATTTATTTTAATATACATTTTAATATTCTTTACTTTATCCATTTTACATGACCTCTTACAAGGTCCAATAGAGTAAAAACCCTAATTATAGTGTTATTTTTAATTAAATCTACTGAAGACGCGTTTTAACGTGTTTGTCAATAAGTTTATACACCACAGAAAGTTTATAAATGAACTATATCTAGAATAAACTTAAGAACACTAGTTTTTAGAGTATTAATAGACTTTACTGGATATGTAAAGAACAATTTTACTAAAAATAATCAGTTTATGTACAGATGAACTTAAAATAAGGACTACAATAGTAAATCTTAAAAGAGATCACTCTTAATTAAGTTGTTTGGTATTAAGAAGGTTTTAAAATTTTGAGTGAAATAAGTCTATAAGAACAATTTCTTTTAAAACCATTTAGAACTATTATCTAAACCTATACTATATTAAGACTGTTTATAGATATTAATACTTTTGAGGCATATAAAGTGTGCTCCTTGGGAATATATTTTTTTAACACACACACTCATTGCCCCGCACTAGGGAACCCTTGTATCACGGGTGCCATGGGCACACATAGGTGGACAACCACAAATTACACCCATATTCACGAGAGGAATAAATGTAGGCCATGCAAATATTCTGTTACTTACGTGTAACAAATGATCTGTTATTATAACATATATTCTGCTTATGTATGTATTTATGTATGTAAAGTTCATGTATGTTTGTATGTCTGTCGTATGTAGATTATTATCATTTATATTTTATTCACATTTAAATTTAAATTTTGTTGTACAATAATTAGTCCCGCAGACTTCATTTTTGCACCACGGCTAGGGTTGGCTGGAAGAGATTTCTTATAGAGATAAGCTCACCTTTGTATATGTCTATTGTAACGTGTGTTTCATGTTTCTTTTCTTTGTACAATAAAGAATATATATATTTCTCCCAACCCGGGAATCGAACCCGGGATCTCTGCGTGGCAGTCGAGTATGGTAACCGTTCGGCCACCGAAGCAGTTAAATATATAATGAAATAAGTATTATCTCCCGTCATAAAGTTCCAAACAGTAGATGGATGCCACGACTGACATTACAGCGTAGGTATTATTTTAAGCAGCTATATTTTAACAAAAAATCAAGGTGGTAAAAACTATCACGATATTAAAAACTAAACTTAAATACCGTAGTAAAATAATTGGTAATTTTTTCTTTTTCACCTATTGTGTCCAACGGCTGGGAAAGATCGTTCAAAATCTTCCAATGCTTCTTGTCTTCCCAAACCTATCTAGATCGCTCCGACAACGCCAATTGCTAGTTGAAAACTTGAAAAATACAATTCAATAATTCCAGGATTTCAGATGGAGTTATAATCCACTCTATATAATGACACTTTCTTGATCTTTAGATAAATATACTTTGTCTTCACCGATTACTGATAATTCTCATTGAACAGTTTTAGTTCTCAGAAATCATATCGTTAACATATCTCTCATTCGTTGATCCGACAATAGCTTTTCTGGCTTCCGTTTTAGTACAGAGTCCAATTATTAAAGTCAAATAAAGTCTCGTTTATAATAATGGACACATTTTGGAATACAGGCAATTTCCGCAAGAGCTCAAGTAACATCAGTACCGTTCTAATGTAACGTACGTAATACAGTTCATAGCTTGTAGGCATAACGTATATATTACATGTCCTAGTATATGAAAACCATTATTTAACTGACGATCATTTATTTAGATGACAACCTCGGCGGTCTAACGCTGAATGCGGAGGTCCAGGGTTCGATTCCTGGTAGGATCAATTTGGGAAATGATTTTTTGCCCCAGAATTCTGTTGCTCTGGTATTCATAGCACAGAGATTTTTTTAGTTTGATACCAGACAATTTGTATGGTTATCTGGCACGTTATTTAGCTGGCCGCAAGACAAAAAATGTTCAGCAGTGGACGTCTTCCGGCTGATATGTTGATGATCAAGACAAAAAAATCAACTCAAAAAATTCAAAATGTCGTGAATATTAAACGAATAAATATTAAACAACATCATATACGTTGCTCTGATCCCAAAGTAAGTAACAAAAGCACTTGTGTTATGATAATCGGAAACAACGACGGTACCACAAACACCCAAACCCGAGGCAATACATAGAAAAGTTAGGTTTCTCCATTGGTATCGGGTGTCGGGTGATCGGGGATCAAACCCTGGACCACAGAGATAGTGACACCATGAAAGCCGGCGTGCAAACCACTCGACCATAGAGATTGAATTAAAAAAAAAAAAAATTTACAACTTTCTCCTTTTCTTCAAGTCGGTTAAAAATATACATCATCTAAAAATGTTTGCTTTAGTATTTTTTTCAATGGATTTTGATATAACTTTATTATTTCATAATTGCAATATCTTTTTTTATGACATTGTCAAGTCACGGGACGAACAAGTCGTGTGTCAGATGGTAAGCGCATATCCATAACACCTACTCATAGTTGCAGTGTTACTTAGAGTTTTTAATCACAAAGATCGAGGAGGAAAGAAAGAGGGTCACTGCCACTGCGCCTGTCACACTATGAGACGCAAAGTCGACAAGTCCATGTGTACTTAGCAGCAGAAACAGGTATGGTGGCAGTACTTCCATAGACGAACTTTTTCACAATGAGCTCTATTGCTACTTAAGTACTAAAACTATTTACCGATTTAAGTGTTTGAAGAAACGGACGGGAGTGGAGGAGGCGGAGGAGGTTGGTCAAGAGCGTAGCAGGTGGAAAATCTTAGTCTCTCCTTACCCCGGCGGGAGAAAGGCGTGATATATACATACCTATGTACGACTCGTATGAAAAGTTTTTGGTGAATGGTATTAGTATATAATCTCAGTATAGAAGTACCTACTAAAAAAAACTGACCTAGAAAGTCATTCATCCCCTAATTTGCCGCCCTTAGACGTGGATAATTTTCTTCAAATTTAAATGGGATTACCGAGTACTCTCTTTCCAACAAAAAAGGAATTGTCAAAATCACAAATTCCGGAGTTATCGCGTAACATACATTAATGTCGTCAAATTGAGAACCGCCACCTTTTTTTAAAGTCGGTTGAAAATTGGTATGTACACTCATCGACAGTGTCTAGGGATCAAGCATGCTTTTGCCTATTAGTGAAAATCAAGTTTTATTAATACATTTTCTTTTTTGGGTAATTTTAATAAATTTATATTACATATATCTGTATTTCATTTTAATAAGGGAAATAAAAAAAAAACGATAATCCCTTTTGATCAATTTTGATGTCTGTATTTTCAAATGCGTGTAAAGTACTGTTTGTTTTTAATATTTTGTTTATATTATACACTTTTAAGAAAAAAACCTATGTGTAACCTATGCGTCTGTGAAACCACCCGTAAGTGAACGCCTATCAAGAATTTTTAATTTGGTAATATTATAAATGAAAATTCAATGTAATCGAAATTTTTTAATTCTTTGGGGGAGGCCTGTCTTCTGCAGTAGACGTCTTTTGGCTGTAATGATGATGAAGATGATAAATGAAAATTATTTTAAGTATATGATACCGTTAGTCTGATTGGAAGGACGCTTACATCGTTTGTAGAGGTTAATGGATTAGATTCATAGGTTTTGCAATGGGTTCGAATCATGTGCATTTTAAGTAGCCAATAATCTCTTGCTTTAACGGGGAAGGAATATTTCTTGATGGAGCCTACACGTCTTCAAGATTCTAGTAGCAGTAGAGCTCCTTGTGAAAGAGTTCCTCAAAAATACTGCCACCTTGCATATTTGTATCGCCAAGCAGTAATGTGACAATTACTGTATACAGGGGACTTGTCAACTTACATCTCAGGGCGACGGCCGCAGTGGCAGTGCTCTCAGATCATTGTGAATGGCACTGCAACTGTTATGGATAGGCGTGTCGCTTATCACATCACGACAACTTGTTCATCCCGTCATTTGGTATCATAAAAAAGAGAATATCATGATTATTCGAAAACATGAAGTATCAGTGTCCTGGAAACCCAGAAATGGGGTTTACATGTTGATGAGGCATCGTGTAGTGTCGACGCTTATGGTTTTTATTTTTCTTTTACAGACTTCTACGGCACTAATACTGCTCCTACACTTATCACTCCATACGGTCGACGAGGGCCATGCCATAAATCCGGGTAAGTATAAAAAGTGTATAAAAACCTCCAGCTTTCATGGTACTAAGCCTAGCACCATTTTAAGGTGAACTCTGAAAAATTTTCCACTCATTATGAACATCAATTAGCAATTGACAGACTGATCTGAAGTGTGTAAATAAAAAAAATATAACTTTTCAGTCACAAAGTAACTATTAGAATTCTTTGTTTATTCGTTATATGCCATAGGTATAGTTAAATTGGTAGGGCAAGTATTCAGTCTTTCATTTGCCAAAGTAAAATCTTCAGGATTATCCTTTTTATCCTATTCTTTGTTGTAAGAGTTTCCTTTAAAATAGATTAGGCATGATACCTTAAGAATAGGAGGGATTATAAGTAAAAAAAAAGAAAATTACAAAAAGATTGAATTTTTAAAGCAAAAAAGATTTATTTAGGTAATAATTTCTCCACCGGCTTAAAATATTATTTTCTTTCACATCGCACAAAGCAAAAAAAACTCGAAGACGCGGGCTGCCTTCGCGTGTCACCGGCATGCGGCGAATCTATGGCTGTGCCCGGCCTGTTTTTGACACTGAGAGTGTTAAGTATCGATTGTCATAAATTTTCCACAGTTTGGAGTTAAGACACAAGTTATCACGTATTTATTGAATCGCGTGGTTGAGTAGCAGTCGAGCTCCTCGTGAAAGAGTTCGTCCTGGAAAGTACTGGCACATCACCTATTTTTGTCGTCAAGCAGTAAAGTGAGCGTTGCTGCGTTACGGTTTTGTCAATATGTCTCAGGGTGAGTGGCAGTGCTACTCAGAACTTTGCGATTTAAAGCTCTGAGTGGCACTGCAACTGTTACGGACAGGCGTGTAGCTTACCACCCTAAGCACGACTTGTTCGTACCGTCACTTGATATTATAAAAAAAGAAGTTAAGTTGTGAGAAAACTTGTGTCCAATATCTGAGGTCCTGGTTTTGATTAACACCATCGGGGGCCTGCGTGATGGCGTCTTTTTGAATCATGTCTTCGTTAATTTTACTATATTATCATTAACATTAACAGTGAAGGAATACAGTGTACTAAATACAACCTGCTTGTCGTAGAAGGTTCATTATACGCTTCAAAGAGGTTTGATGTTTTCAACCCGCATTGTATCGATGACAATGGGGATTTAATAAAACAAGACCCAATGTCTACACATAAGCTGATTAAAAAATCATCTTCAATTTAATCAAAACAAGACAGAATATAAGGAATTTCACTTGATTTGCTTTACAATACAGCCGCGAAACGTCTTGTGTGGATAAATGTGTACGTGTGTGTGTGTTAAACCTCTACGAATATGATTTCATTGAAGCCTGTCGCTCCACGTAATACGTCAGGGCTGGGCAACTTTGTGAATTTAAATCAGTATCACTAAACCAATACTGTGTGCAGGTGCTATCTTAGTACAAGAGTTAATTGACTCCATATCAACGCTTGTACCATATTATGTATTAGTTTTCTGATAAGTGTTACCTGAGACTTGAAAAGATTATTTAAAATTCAGAGTACTATTAAATGATTAAAATTTTTTGATAGATTCTAAATTTAGTTTATTTACAATTTGGCAACCTTTATTGATAAATAACAAAATTAATGAATTAATGTAAGTTGGTAAATATATTAATATATTTAACAGAAAATGGCTAAACAGCTTCAAAAATCTTTAAAAAGGCGGCTCATACGGACCGTGATTTTATGGATTTCCACGGCCAACGACCACTTACCGGCACGGTCCTTATTTTTATTAATAATTAACTAATTACTGCATGCTATACATTGATACATGCACCGCTTCGGATGTGTCTGTGTTACCACTGACGAGCCCTTTCTCTTGATGAGCGAGAGCGAGCTCGTGTGAGGTGATTGGTATAATCATGGACTACGAGAAGTCGCCTTAATAAGCATCTGTCAATTTAGGAAATGAATCTATTTTTTCGGATTTAAATCGCGTATATTTGTTTTTTCAAACAAACCGACGTTTCGGGCCCTTTACAGGTTCCATGGTCTCGGTTGACTGAGGTGGTACAGTCTTCAACCAGTTATGTCTAATATTGATGCAAAACACCACATTTTTTTTTTCACTATAGTTACAATAGCTATTCATTAAATACCTTATTATTAATTTTACAAAGAAAACGTTCCAATTTACGCTACATTAAGTTTTACAAATTATTTTATTGAATGATTTTTTATTAAGTTCAATTTATTATTAATTAGCAATAGAAATTAAAATAAACTAAAACATATTAATTAGTACTGCAGTCTTATGTCTGTTTGGGATTTTTCATTAGAGGAAATATTAAGCATTTAATAAATCTATGACATATTACATCTACTGCTACACACGTATGTATTTATATCACATACGTAACATTTTCTTAAATTAAATTATATTTTGTTATGGTCTTCAAATTTCTCATCTCCTTTATTTTGTTATATTCCACTTTTCATGTTATGACTTTTTTTTAACTTTCACGCATTTATACATTCACATCCGCATGAACACTAAATACACACTACACGTTATCATTTTTATTTTGCTGCTGGTGCCCTGCATCGTGCTGCCTCAAGGATGTTACCTGAAAACCAGGGATTTGCTTGAACTTCTTGGCTTACTGCAGAATACTCAAGTTATTGTTATTACATTAGTTAAATAAAAAATTTTTTTTCGAGTCTGCTTCTTCTTTTAATTATTTCATATGCTTTACATTATGGGAAGTCATTAAACGTTTTAACTGTGTATCTATCTACATTATTAAACACCTAATCTACACATAACCATTAAACCAAAGAACTGTATCAAATAAATACAACTTTTAATAATTATAATAAACTAGTGGAGTAATTCCACAAAAATAATTGAATATCAATTCAACAATAAAAAAATATCTGCCTCCGTGGCGAACGGTTACCACGCCGGACTGCCACGCAGAGGTCCCAGGTTCGATTCCCGGGCCGGGAGAAATAATACAAATATTTCTACACCCTACAATATTTCTCTCGTGAGTTTGGGTGTAATTTGTGGTTGTCTATGTGTGTGGTTTCCTTAGTGCGGGGCTATTAAAAAAAAACAAAAAAAAATTAAAATAAAGTTAATAGCGGCATCTCTATCCAGGGCTAGTAGCTGTAAAGGTATTTATCTGATTGGATGACGAAATACTTTTATAGATTTCTCGTAGACGCTACGGCTAAAAAGTCGTTGAAAACGAAATACAAAATCCAACAAACAAGCACATAGAAAAATTCGTGAAGTCCGTTGGTTCGTTTCGTGGCTTAGTTGGCATAGTGTCTGGTACGATTTGCTGGAAGACGCCGGTTCGAATCCGGCTGGATCGAATTTTTCTAAGTGTTCGATCTTTGTGTTAATAATTATAAATACAACTACTGTAAATACTTGTAATAATTTTTACTTTATATTCAGGTCATAAATTATTCGCACTTTAGATACGGCTGTAGAAAAGCTGAGTCTCCTAACGTAGACATAGCTATGCTTAAAAGGAGATTTCTGTCACAATTACCGTAAATCAACCTTGGAAAGAAATAAATTACTATTATAAGATCAATATAAAATTGGTGGTGAAAGAAGTCAGTGTTGGAGAGAAGCTCCACACCGTTTTAGCATAACAGTCCTTATGACACTTTTAATACAGCGTCTCTGAAATATGACGAGACAAATAAGTACAACCGTTTCCCTTGGGTCTGATGGTATAGTTGAAAACCAAATATTTAAATTACCCAAAAATGCGGTGATAGTCTAGTTGAGAGAATGTTTGAATCTTATGTAGCCCTGGGTTCGAACCGTTTCATTCTTATGGCTTCGGCATATCAGAAGCTATTTTTAATAATAATAATAACGCACACACTCAATATAACCCCGCACTAGGGAAACCCTGTGTCGCGGGTGCCATAGACACACATAGACAACCACAAATGGTGTCCAAACTCACGAGATAAATAAATGTAGGCCATACAAATATTTCTCCTGGCCCGGGAACCGAACCTGGGACCTCTGCGTGGCAGTCCGGCATGGTAACCGTTCGGCCACGGAGGCTGTTAAATGTTCTTTCTGATTCTGTTTTGGGTTTAGATTACTAACTTTAGTAGATTCGTTGATGTTAATCAGAATTTAATTTTGCGTGCTTGTTATGCCTACATGAATATATGTAGGTATAACAAGAATGAAAAATTTCACACACACTCTCGCGGACGCGCTTGTACACACATACACATTTATTTTTTAATCAATCTAATGATTCCACTGTCTCTTAATAGACAGGTTCCCTTAGTTTAAGAGATAGGTTCATTAATTGCCTGTTATCCTGTTCCACAAATTAACAATGTCACATTTTCGTATTGGTGTTTATTCAATTTGAAGTTTTGTATTTTGTACTTCTGTAATTTGTGGAAATAAAGTCATTATTGTTCATATTATAATTTTCTCAGAACTCTGTTCTTGAATTCACTTGAGCATCCCTGCTCAAACTTAATATTGAATCTCATATGGCTGATGAATTGAATGGTTATGTTGGTACGTTCCTTTGGGGGTGGCCGCTTACGTGAAATTTCGATTGGGTCCAAGTTAATTTAGAGATTTCTGTGATGTTGCGTCTTGAGGCTTGTGATTTGAATTATATAGAAGGTAACGTAAAGTAAACGGGTATGTTTGAACCTTAATTTAAACGTTACGTTCCTGAGAAAGGCTCCATTACGAAACAGGTATTATTACGCTATTTTGCTTAGACGTGGACTTGTGGTTGGCAACTCAATATGTCTCATTTTTTTTGTTGAGAGTTCTTAAACCCTTTTGTTTTGAATAACTAAAAACCGGATCAATTTTAATATTTTTTTTATTGAAGGCTACCGGTATGAAAAGATAAATTTGTTTTATGTACTTGGATATACGCATGTATTTTGTTTAGAATTGGAATAAGACGAAGAAATTATAGATTCAAACGAGGCGTGAATGGGCATCTTGTAGGCATGCAGGGTGG